AAGATTCCTCTAACTTTTATTAATCTTAAAAAGTGATAGTAAAATTTAATAAGTATTTCTTAATACTTTTCCTTTTTATCTGTATAAAATATAATAATATTCAAATGAATAAATTTCAAGCCTAATTTAGAAAATCTACTACACATAATTAGCTTAAGTCATTCTCATTTATTGTTTGATTTATAAACAAATAATTAACTGCTTCTCCTGATTCCACTTAAAAATACTCAGTACTGCATTATGGTTCAGATAAGTTTCAAAAATTTTTATTTCGATTAAATCAAATTTTTTTTAAGAGCTACTCAAAGATTTGCCTATTTTAAAATTGCCTAGATGTACAATTTAATTGTATCTCCAATTTTAATAATATAATTCAATGAATCTAAAGGGTAGCTTTTATTTTATATAAAATTCTGTAAATATTTTTTTTTCCGTTTTCTATTATATAATTAAATCATAATAAAAAGTTAATTGTTTGTGATATGATAAACATTTACAGAAGAATAAATATTTTAATTAAATTTCCTTATATAGAGTGGTCTAGAATTGTTAAAAATAATAAAATAACAATTTTATTTAATTAAGATTATAATTAATCTTTTATAAGTAAATAAACATTTAATTTGTATAATTTTTGAATTGGATTAACTATCAATCGATCAAGAAAGGATATTTTAAAATTTCAAAAAACCTGGAAATGAAAAGGTACTTAAATTGAAATACTGATAGTGGGGAATCAATTGTGATCAATATAATTTGAAATTAAAAGAACATTCACAGGTACTATCTCAAGTACTTTTATATGATTGAGTTCATTCCTTAAAGCATTTTAGAGAAATTATTTGAGAGATTCTTTATTCAATCTTGTTAATTCTGCTAGTAAAACAAGAGCTTTATTTTTATTTTATACTTAATAAATTCATCAATTCATAATTAAAATTTTTCTATTGTTTTTAACAGATTCATTTCATGATTATTGTTATCCATTTCTTATCCCTTGTTATAATTAGAATAAAATTTATATTTCAATTATTAGTTTTAATATTTCATCTCATACTACAGTCAAACAACACTTTTAACTTCTATTCATACTATGTTTTGTATTTTCTATTTCTTATTTAAAAGCCTGTCTTTTTCTATTGATTATGATGATTAACTAATATGACATGATATATTAATTCAAATTAATACCTTTTTAAGAATGTACCACATGAAAAATATTCAATTAATATTTTCAATAAAATTGTGAAATTATGAATGATGCAATTACTTAAGAAGGAAATGATTTAATAATAAGTACAATGAATTGTGTTGAAAGGATGAAATTACCTCTTATATAATTTAAATTAGGTGAAATTTATGAAGGAGAGTGGAAAAATGGAATGAGAGATGGATATGGTAAACAAAATTGGGCAGATGGTTCAACGTATGAAGGAGAATGGGTAGAAAATAAATCTTCAGGAAGAGTAAAATTAAACTATTATTTTGAGGGTAAAATAATTTATTCAGATGGTGATGTATATGATGGGGAATGGAAAAATGGTAAAGCAAATGGTAAAGGAATATATATTCGTGTTAATGGAGCAAAATATGAAGGAGAAGTCAATATTATATTTTATTTCTAGTGGGAAAACGATAAATAGCATGGTAAAGGTGTAGAAAACTGGCCAGATGGATAGAAATATAGAGGTTAATATTTCGAAGGTAAGAAACATGGAAAAGGTATATTAAACTTTGCTGATGGTTCTAGATATGATGGTACATACTTATTATTCTAATTTTTTAGGGGAATTCTTCTAAAATGATCTGCATGGAGAGATAAAGTATAGATCTATCAATTAATATACATAATGATAATATTATTTATTATTCAATTAAAACGAACATCAAAACCAATAACATTAAATAAAATTTATTAAATGGGAGAGAAGAGGATTGAAAAATATTTATTTAATATCAATCATAAGATTGGAGAAGCTTCTTATGCCACCGTTTTTAAAGGTATCAATGAAAAAACTGGGGAGAATGTAGCAATAAAAATGAAATTATTTTCTTTCTATTTGGAAAACTGCCTTTTATGATTTTTCTATTGCTATACTAATTTTTATTATTTATACAATCCAAGAAGAAGAAAAATTTAGAAAACTTATTTGTAGTCAAATTATTCCTAAATAAATAATTAGTTCACTACCATAACCTATTTTTTTAATTAATTTATCTACTCTAGAATTTGTAATCTATAATGATATGTTTAAATAGTATCTAAATTTTTAAAAAGATGAATTTGAAATCTCTTTTACTAAGAAAACATTGATTTAATTTCAATCTTATGGAAATTAATAAGTATTTATTAATTAAATCTCATGTTTCAAATTGTTAAAGTGTTTATTGTTATTGTAAAGGATTTAGAGGAGAGAGAAGATAAGTAATTGATAGTAGAAGAAATAATGTTGATATGAAAATTTATAATTCTGTTTAAGTTAATAATATATTAAACTTTGCTGATGGTTCTAGATATGATGGTACAGACTTATTATTCTAATTTTTTAGGGGAATTCTTCTAAAATGATCTGCATGGAGAGGGAACTTATATTTGGCCAGATAATAGAGTTTATAAAGGACAATGGAAAAATAATAAAATGCATGGCAATGGATAAATGATATGGCAAGATAGTCGTAAATATAATGGTGTAATGATCCTCATATATAATAGGAATATGAAGAAGATAAAAAACATGGTAAAGGTGTCTTTGTATGGTCTGATGGTAGAAAGTTTATAGGAACCTGGAAATAAGGTTGTATTATTAACTTATTTCTTAGGAAAATTACATGGAGTTGGAATATATTATTTATAAAATAAAGAAGCTAAAGTTGGTGAATGGAATGAAGGAATAAGAATTAAGTGGTTTGAATAAAACGAAGTTGATTAATTAATTGAAGAACAAAAAATTAAAAGAGAAGATTTGTTTTTATAAAATTGATACATCTCAATTATATCTAATCTTAAATGTTATCATTTTATGTCTTAGATTTATAATTTTATAAAAATATGATTGTTCAACTGATACTTTGATTTTATATTATTATTATTCCTAAATAATCTGATGAGAAAGGAATCTCTATAAATCCAAAATTAAATTACAATTAAATTGCGCTGATCAAATTTTTTATTTTATAATTTAAGAGAATCTGCAGTAAATAACTTTAGATTAAGTTATTTCATCAAAAAAGATTTCTAACAATATACGATATTTAATTATTATTAAAATTCAATGCCATAAACATTAATTCAGGCTAATCATCAACGATATGATAAGTTAATTTTAGAGTATCTACTAAATTTTCACTCTGTAATATTTATTTATAATTCTATAATTCTCTTCACCAATATCAATATTGATAGCTTAATAAAAGCACTGTATTAGAATCATCAAATTTTGTGAATAGATCAAGAAGATGAAGTTACTTAAACATAAATTCAATTTTCAACCATTTCACTAATTTTACCCTGAAACCTTCATCCTTTTTCTCTAATTCATATAATTCCAATTATTTTTAAGTTGTCCTTGAAAATTTACTATATCTTTTATTTCAAATTGCATCTTGAGTAGAATCGGGAGAGAAAGAAGATTAGCTAACTAGTTAATCTTTTCCTTAAAATGATGATTTCTACTCTTTAAGAGAATTCAAAATTTTAGATGATTATTCAAAAATAATTTAAGATGATTATTCAAAATTTAAGCTTGATTTTGAATTAGATTGTGATTTGTATAATAATTTTATATTTATATTACTTCCTTTTGTACTTATATTTATATATCTATTTTATCAATTTTCTGTTAATAAATTCTGTTTTAATTAATCTTTTTTTTTTCACAATAAACGACAATTTATATTCCAAAGATTAGAATGGCAACCACTATAACCAATATTTTCTAAAGTTTAGAATTATATTATAGAAGTATCTGATTCTATTTATTTTATTAAATTGGCAAATTTTTCTTCATATGAGAGTTTGATCATAAAAATTTCAATGCTTATGTAGCAGACTCTTTTTCAGTGCATGCTTTAGGTGGTTGTCGTAATAAATAATATTGCAATTTTTATTTGTCTACTGCTGAACTCAATAAATGCAATAATTCATTTTAGCTGTAAACCAATAATTAAACTCTTTTTGATTTATCAAAATTTTTAGATTTTAACTAAGAAAGCTGACTTAAATTCAGTTTTTTAGTTTTAATCATTTAAATCATAAATTAATAACTAATCATTCTCAGATTAATAAACTAATTTAAGTATAAATATTCTAGGAATAAATTTGGATAATTATTTTTTAAGTTCCAAATATGATATTACTGATAAGCCTTGGTTATATTCAAATGTTGGAACGTTACACAAATAATCACCTAAACAATCAATCTCATAAGTAAATGAATGTGAAGCAAAGTTTCCAAAGCCAATATAACTTTATTTTTTGTGACTAACATTTCGCTACATTAGTAGTTAAGTGGCAAAAAAAGCCTTTTGCTTATAAAATTAGGAAATAATTCTTCTGAGAACCTTAAAGTATTTTATATGCAATTATTTCAAGTGAAACAGAAGAACTTATAGAGAAAAAATAATAAATTTGACTCTGGTAGGATATACTCTCTAAATTACTTTGTATTAATTTACATTTAGAATCTTTTATCTCCTATGATATTACTTAATGATATATCCATATAAATATCTATCATTGTTTTAGAAAGCCTTTTAGATTTGGTAATTTTAAGTAATTTATCCATCAATTAATTAAAGTTTCTGATATTTATATTAAATAATTTCAAGTAAATATTTTTATTAATAATAGCATTTAAGGAAATTAATTGTATTGTAATCGATTCTAGGAATAGAGATTTTTATTTTATAGAATTAATAATAAATTAGAGATTTTTTATATTAGGATTAATTAGAAAGACCTAAAAAGAAGTTAAAATTCTTTAAATTAATTTTATTTTGATCTTTATGAGTAAGGAATGAATGATTTATAATAAATTATTACTCTATTAATTTCATGGATTACTGGATAAACTAAATTAGAAGAATATATAATTAATTAAAAAATAAGAGTATTTTTTAATCCTTAAATAGTATTGTTTAAATTCTCATAAAATAAATATTTTAATTTTAAATTATCTATTAAAAATGCTGCTAAATTTTGACATTATGGGCTGATAAATGTAAGAAAGCAGTGAAAAAAATTATAAATAATGCTACTCAAATCTCTCTGATCAATCAGACCTTATTTTTGAAAGCACTAGAA